ATGGACATCTCCACCGGCCACCTGGTTCTGGTAAGCCGCCGCCCCGCGCCGCCCTCCGCCTGCGTCCTGGCCCCGGCGGCGGCCGGGATGGGCCCGCGCCGGGCTCCTCTGCGGGCCGCCTGCCCGGAGTGCCAGCCGCGCGGGGTGGGTGCATGGGTTAGCGCCTGCTGCGCGCCGCGTTCTTTACCTCCAACCAGCAGACAGCACTCCTCCCCGTGTCTGCCCCGCGTCGTCTGGTAAGCGAACGGCCTCTCGGGCTTCCCATGACCCAGAGGGACACTGGCCGGAGGGAGGCGCAGGGCCGGGCAGTCTCCGTGAGGACATGCCAGCTGGCCTCTGCTCCCTGTCCCGCCAGCACCCAGCCGCGCTGTCCGGCGCCGCACACACTGACCCCGGTTTTAAGAGGCGGCCAGAGCTCAGCCCTCCTCACGCCTCTCCTCCTGCACGGGCCGTCGCTGCCAGTCCGGCGGCCCCTTCCTGCCTGTGTGTGTCGGGCCTCCTTGCCGGACTCCGTGCGAGCGGCCGCAGGGCCTCTGGCAGGAAGCACCCTCGGCAGCAGCCCTTGGCCCAGGCCTGGGGACCGGCGCAGGGACCCAGGAGGTGGTTTGCACAAATACATGAACACACTGTGTGTGCCCGCATGGGGTCCCCTCTGAGAAACCCACCACGCCCCTCCCAAAGGTCAAGGGCCCGGGACCCCTCAGCGGGCATCGGAGCCAGCCCTGCGTGACGGACACCTGGGCCAGCCGTGCAGGCAGTGAGGTGGACAAAGGAGCCCAGCGGCAGGCGTGAGGGCCGGACACAGCCTGCCGGAGTCCGCAGTGAGGGGACCTGTCCGCCGGGCCGCACGGCGAGAGCCTGGGTGGGTGGCCTCTCAGAGCTCCAGGGCCTCCCCCACCCTTCCTGCGGCTGCCGTTTCCCCGGGCCTGTCCTCGAGCCTCGTCGCCTGCCCCAGGACACTCTCCCGCTTCTCACTGCTCGAGGCTTCTCCCGCTCCAGGAAGAGCCGGTCAGCCTCCGGGGCCCTGTGGTCACGGTGCCGGTCAGCCTATGGGGCCCAGTGGGCACGGTGCCGGTCAGCCCTACGGGGACCCTGTGGGCACGGTGCCGGTCAGCCCTACGGGACCCAGTGGGCACGGTGCCGGTCAGCCTACGGGGCCCTGTGGGCACGGTGCCGGTCAGCCTACGGGGCCCTGTGGGCCCGGTGCCGGTCAGCCTACTGGGCCCTGTGGGCACGGTGCCGGTCAGCCCTATAAGGACCCTGTGGGCACGGTGCCGGTCAGCCCTACGGGGACCCTGTGGGCACGGTGCCGGTCAGCCCTACGGGGCCCTGTGGGCACGGTGCCGGTCAGCCCTACGGGGCCCTGTGGGCACGGTGCCGGTCAGCCCTACGGGGCCCTGTGGGCACGGTGCCGGTCAGCCTACGGGGCCCTGTGGGCACGGTGCCAGTCAGCCTACGGGGCCCTGTGGGCACGGTGCCGGTCAGCCCTACGGGGCCCTGTGGGCACAGAGCCCAGTGTGTGCCTAGCGCACAGTAGGTGTTAGTCACTCACTGGTCAGCAGGCCCCACCTTCTACTGTCTGGGAGCATGCCCAAGGCCAGTCGAACCAGAGAGCCCGGGGCCAGCGTGCGCCGCCGCGGTTCACCCCCGCTGGCCATGTCACGTCCTGCGCAGGAGGCAGCTCTGAGGGCCGCGCTGTGCCTCGCTGGGCTCGGCTCACCTCCCTCCGCAGGCACTCACTCTGTGTGCCTAAGCGCCTGCTGCGTGTGACGGGCATCGGTGGCTCCACATGCCCACGCTGGCGGCATGGGGACCCTGGGTGCACACGTTTGGACGGGGTTGGGGTGCAGGCTCTGGCTGCTGAGCTGGAGCAGGAGGGTAGAGGGTGGCAGCATGGGATCCATGCCCACTGCGCCCCACACCTTGCAAACGCATGGTGTGTCATTGCTGCAGCTGAGCTGGAAAGACAAAAAATGTCTTGCATAGTCTTCTCCCTAACGCTTCACCCAAACTGGCACAAGGCTTCTGTTGGGTCGCTTCTTCTCCCTCGGCTTCCGACTCCTCATCTCACAGCCTTGGAGGAGGCACGCTGGCCGGGCTCGGTGACTGCGGCTGACCCTGGCCCTCGCTGTCCCTTTCTCGCGGGAGGCAGCTGATTGCTGCTGACAGGAAGGCCTGCACAGGCTCGGCTCCGGGCTCTGTGCCCTCTTAGCAAGTTTGGTTGGTGAAGAGAAGATACATTTTTGATCTTGTGTGAGCTGTTCCAGTATTGATGACATTTCTATCCTCCTATTCTTATCTTACTGCACATCAGGAATTAAAAACCAAAGTGCTTGGCCTGGCTGGCTGCTTAGTGGGCTGGAGCATCATGCCACACACTGAAAGGTCGTGGGCTAGAGTCCCAGTCAGGTCACATACAGAGGCAATGGATTGATGTTTCTCACAACGATGTTTCTCTATCCCTCTCCCTGTCTCTAAAATCAATAAACATATCCTCAGTGAGGGTTAAAAATAATAAATAAGAGAGAGAAAGAAGGGAAGAAGGAAGGAGGGGGGATGAAGGAGGGAAGGAAGGGAGAAGAGAAGGAGGGAAGGAGGGAAGGAATCGAGGAGGGACGAGGGAGGGAAGGAGGGAGGGAGGGAGAAGGAAGGAGGGGAGGAGAAAGCTGTGCCCCCTGGGTGCGTTGGAATCCCTGCCCGCTCCGCCTGCGTGGACCTGGTGCTGCCATCGGGCAGGAGAGCGCACTCCGCCTCCGCTCTCTCCGGCACCTCACGCCGCTCGCTGAAATGCTCTCTCCTAAACACATGCTCGGGAATCATAATGAGCACATCGCAGGCACGGAGCATAAAGGCTGTTCTAAGAAAAGATCTGGGCTTTGTAATGGGGAAGAAGCTGTCTGCGTTGCTAGGCAACCGTCCCTCCCTTTTCCTCCGCCTGAAAGGTCCCTGTGATAACTGTTGTCTCATCTTTCCGGCAGAAAGGTCTCCTCTGGGCTCGAGGCCGAGGCCGGAGGGCGGTGACGGTGACGGTGGGGTGCAGAGGCTGCTGCTGTGGCTCGGCCTGGAATTGCTGTTGAGTTGACCTTCAGCGGGAGGGGGTGGCATCAGCACACGCAGCCCGCGGAGGCTCCTCTGAGCGCCCGGTGAGGCGGCCACGGTACCGGCACTGGAGCTAGCAGGAGCCCCATTTCTCTGCCCCAGCGCCCCGCGCCCCCCGCCCCGTTTCCTCGGGCCGTTTCCCAGCATCCGCCGGGTCTCCTCCGGGGTTGGTGCCTCGACCACAGCCACGCTCCTCCCTCACAGCACTCTGCCTCAGCTCTCGGGAAGCCCAACTTGGCTTGCAACTGCCTTCTGTACATCAGTGGAATTTCTAAGAAACTCCAGCTTCAAGTGTATTTCACGTGTCAAATGGACGTGGTGGAGGCAAAATCCAAATTTTATTTCCTCACTTAATAAGGACTGTGTACTCATTCGTATTAATAAAAGTTGCTGCAAAACACGTACTTGAAATGCATCTTTCCCATTCCCAGTGGTTCATAAAAAGGAGACAGAAATGGGCGTTAGCGGGTTAACCATCCTGATGTCTGGTCCGTGTGTCTCAGAAACGCGTGCTCCGTGCAGGTCCACAGGAGTTCTGTGTGAAAGCTCCCAAACGCAGCGATCCAGGGAGTGAGAGAGGGCATGGGTGCGACCTGGTGAGGGCGGGTGAGGAGCGTGCAGTCCACTTAGAACGACAGAGGGGCCCAGGCCGTGTGCCCAGTGGTTAGAGGGCACCGCACAGGCCAAGGCTGCAGGCTCAATCCCCGGTCAGCGCACATTCAAGGAGCAGCCAATGAGTGCGTGAATAAGCAGAGCAGCAAATCCACGTCTCTCCTTTCCTCTTCCCTAATATCCATTTAAAAAATTAGAATGATTGGATTTATCTCTTCAAGTCTTATGTGGTTTCTTCCCACTTTTCCACTGTTTCTCACTTATCTTTGAAGGAGAACAGATCATGGGTAGAAACAAGACACCTTACCTATGATGATGTCTTTTTGTTGTTGTTGTTGTTGTTGTTAACCCTCACCTGAGGAGACTTTTTCCATTGGTTTTTAGAGAGCGTGCAAAGGGAGGGAGGGAGAGAGAGAAACATTAATGTGAAAGAAGCACATCAATTGGTTGCCTCCCGCACACACACCAGCTGGGCTGGGGATCAAATTTGCAACCCAGGTATGTGCCCTTGACTGAGAATCAAACCTGAGGCCCTTCAGTATGCTGGCCGGCACTCTAACCACTGAGCACACCGGGCAGGGCATCACCGGTAAAGTTTTGTTTGAGAAGCAGCTAGTTCAGAAGTTTATGATGCCTTGGGTAGATATTTTAAACTTTTAAAAGCCAAAAATTAGTAGAACTAACATAAAACCTAGTTAATTTTTCTTCAGACATGTGTTCATTGAAGCAGCCACAGACTCACATTTAAAACCCGCCATTGTCAGTGGCGGAGGGTTTTTTGTCTGTGGGCCTAGACCCAGGAGGAAGCGAGATACGGAGGCGTGTGGAGGCGGTGGCCTGGCCGAGCGGCTCTCGTTGGCACACGTGCCGCAGTGGCTGTGATTAAGTGCACCCGGCCGGAGGCCATGGCTGCGTTCCGCGATGCGTCAAAGCTGGCTGCGCTGCCGCCGTCCAGGCCGTTACGTTAATGAAGCTGGGATGGAAGCCGTCGGAAATTATTCCCACTATTTGAATGACAAGCAAAGAATTTTTATCAGCAGACTTTTAAATGAAAGGGGATTAGCAGCTAATGTGGAAATTGTTCAACTTCTTAATGGAAATAATTCTGAAGAAAATGTTTAGTGGAAAGAGAGGCTTGGCGGAAGCATTTGCCATTAAAATAACCATTTTCTGAGTCTCCGTGTGACTGCGTCTGCGTTTGTCAGCAGGGTGCAGACATCTCCGGAAGCAAATGAATATTTTACAGGATCGAGCTGCCGTGTGTCCCCGGAATGGATCACAGTCTTCCCACACAGCCGGGGAAGGCGAGAGCCTCGGAG